GGTATCATAACTCCATTTAACATAAATTCAGCTGACAACTGAACCAATAACCCCTTTTTGTAAAGCTATGCAACACAGGAGGATAAATGGCTACATCAGAGTCCCTAAAGTTTAGGTACTAATAACCCCAATTTAGAAATGCTGACCAGAAGAAGGGCAACCAATTAACAGCACTCACCACTTATGCACCTTCACTTAACCGAATATCAGAACTGACTATCACAATTATAACACTCTTGAAAGTCTTTCACTTTATAACCCGGCACACTAACCACTGGGCCACAACTGGTCCTTTTTTGTAAAACAACCACTTTTAATTTCTACATTAACCTTTATCAAGTGTTGGAAGGCATATATTCCACTATAAGTTACTACAACAAAGATTTTCTTCATAATCTCTTGAAAGAGAAAGGGTTTATCATTCTCTAGCAGGGTGCGTTATACATCTTACAAAAACAATACAATTTTTATCCTAATTGTTAGAACTGTGCATTTATATAACACACAACAAACTGCAATAGATTAATTACATAAATAAATGGGTTTGTTTCAAGAGAAAAACAACATAATTCAGTAAAATATACAAGTGTAACTATATATAAGTATAGAAAACTTAAATCAATAAACACTGTTGTTCTGATCTACTTTTGTTCCTGTTCTTTTTATAAGCTTTATTCTGTTTCAAAATACACTTTCTTTTTATACAAGTCCTTTGATTTGTTCAGTTGCAATGTTCTGTGGTGTTATATATGCTATCCAATTGTAAAGTACTCTACTATATTGATAACCTTTTAGTTCTGTTTTAAAACAACCACTGGCAGTTATTGTAGAAGGCATTCTGAGCTCATTCAGGCCAATGAATTAAAGTTTTTTTTCTCACTGCCACATCCTCTCACCTCAAAAGACTATCAAAGAAAGAAGTATGCACCAAACATTGTCATCATCAGCATTATTCAATTTTATTTAAGCCACGACCTTCAAATGAATTCGTAGGCACCAAGATTGCTGTTCGTGTCCCTGGCAAAACACAGCCAAAGAAAATCATAGTAATCAGGAGAGTACCACAAGATGTCCCAACCAAACAGATCCAGAAGGAACTTGTAACCCCGAACATTTCCATAATTAAAAGTGAAAGGATTATTAAGTCATTCAAGACTGGCGAATCAACTTCACTTGTCAGAATTACAGTTACCAATACAAAGACAACTGACTTACTTATTCATAACGGAGTAACACTATGATGTATGTACTGCACCATGGAAGCATCCAAGCTTGCTGCTATAACTCAGAAGTTGAGCCATACTCTAGCAGCATGTACTGCCAAGACAATACGTGTCAGATGTGGAAGTCAATATCTACTTAAGCAGCCCTCACACAGCTTCATCTTTTGTTCATCATTCAAACAAATGGTTAACATTAAAATGAAAACCACACAAGCTAATAGTTCCATTACAACAGCAGTGCCACCATCAGTCTGCAGGGGGGGTCCAGTATTTTTGTGACATATTTTTCAGGTCTTGGGGATTTTTTAATATTTCATTTTCAAAGTTCACAACAATATAGAAGGGAATTACAACCTTATTTTAATTACCCTCTTCTGAGACAGTAGAGACTGTATCAGTAATCTTCAGCTAAACCCAGTTTTTAATTTTACCAAAACTAACTGGGAAATTTTAGAGACCGCTGTTGACAGACTTTTACGATACACACGTACGTATGATCTAGATAAGGATGCTATACATAAGTATGTCCTCACGATCACTGGCATCAGAAGAATTAAAAATGAAATAACTAAATTCTTCCCTACTTGAAGCATTTGCACCTCAAAGATTGATTCTCAGCCCACAACTTTATGTTATTTTTATTAAAGATATCCACTGTACTATTAACTGTCACGTCTCAGTATGCTGATGACGTAGCTACATGGAGCACGTCAAGTGCTCATCTGATTATACCTGCATGAGTTCAAGTATCTCTCAATGATGTTGTCAACTGGTGATATTCATGGCGAGTGGTTATTAATACACACACACACACACACACACGCAATCACTTTCGACAAGAGTATCAATAAAAGATGGAATAAATTATCCATAACAGAGTTAAAGTTATGCTACGATACCAGTTACATTCCTAGAAATCACTTTCAATAACAGTCACATGCACATATCACTTCAATTCAGTCTCACAAAAAGTTTTTGTTATAGAATTACTTATTTAAAAAGAATCGTGGGAGTATCAACAGTTGAAACAGTCAGTTTATCATGCTACTTTACTAAGCCTGTATCAGGGCCTCTTCAATAATGTGACTGTGTAACAACTTGTATGACAAATAATATGTACAGAAAGTTACAAAGTCATCAAAACGGAGCCATCAGTACAGCTTACCATCTAACAATCTACACTCCAAACCAATACTTAAACCCAATCAGTAGGAAACCTACAGTTAAGGAAAGTACCATAAAATTAGCATCTTCATTCTACAGAAAAACATCATATAGAAACAATTATCAAAGTAATTCCCATCTCTAGTCACCACTCCCACACCATGGCAGAAATATGCATCCCCTTACAATCTAATTAGCTGCTTGAACCCATTGTAAGTGAAACAATGAGCTCCCTGATCTCCTCAACTAATGGTTAACTAGCCCATCCATGCCTTTAAATACATGTTCATAATAATATTAACATTCACCCTTTTCAATTCAGCATCAAGTACAGGCACACATATCAAATACTTGGGAATAGGGATCTCTTGAATACTTTTCCCATCTTCTTAGATTCTATGATTCTTTTTCTTTCTGATGGTGTAATGAGTGTAAAGAAGTAATAAGTAGACTTAGTAGTGACTATTTGGGCCTTTTTCTGATTTGCTTATTTGGTGGCTGCATTCTCGATGGATGGCGGTCAATATACTATTTTTTTAACCACATCTATTCTGCCAGGAGTGAGATGAAGGTGAGTTTTATATTTCTGAGAACTCCTGGTTCCTTGAATTTAAATTCTTGTCACAGAAAAAAAGAACAACGTGACCTGATGAAAATTTCCACCAGCAGCTCAAATTATCATCCAAAAACTTCCTAGACAGATGCAGTCTGTTAACAATAACTTTCAAGTATCCTCTCCTCTGTCCAAACCTTCTCTCAATCGAATACTCTATCATGTTTTCAAGCTCCTTACTCTATTATTAAGCTCTGTTCTCTGGTGTATTTAATGTACTCTATTGTGAAGCTCTGTTCTCTGGTGTAATTAATGTACTCTATTATCAAGCTCTGTTCTCTGGTGTAATTAATGTACTCTATTGTGAAGCTCTGTTCTCTGGTGTAATTAATGAACTCTATTATCAAGCTCTGTTCTCTGGTGTAATTAACGTACTCTATTGTCAAGCTCTGTTCTCTGGTGTAATTAATGTATTCTATTATCAAGCTCTGTTCTCTGGTGTATTTAATGTACTCTATTATCAAGCTCTGTTCTCTGGTGTAATTAATGTACTCTATTATCAAGCTCTGTTCTCTGGTGTAATTATGTACTCTATTATCAAGCTCTGTTCTCTGGTGTAATTAATGTACTCTATTATCAAGCTCTGTTCTCTGGTGTAATTAATGTACTCTATTGTCAAGCTCTGTTCTCTGGTGTAATTAATGTACTCTATTATCAAGCTCTGTTCTCTGGTGTAATTAATGTACTCTATTTTTGAGCTCTGTTCTCTGGTGTAATTAATGTACTCTATTATCAAGCTCTGTTCTCTGGTGTAATTAATGTACTCTATTGTCAAGCTCTGTTCTCTGGTGTAATTAATGTACTCTATTATCAAGCTCTGTTCTCTGGTGTAATTAATGTACTCTATTTTTGAGCTCTGTT